AAATTGGCTTCAAAGTTTCACCACATATACCTCTTTAAAAATAGACAAGGCCAGTTGATTTTCTTCACACTACAGTTAACCTGCAAGATTAGACAAGGAGAGTCTTGTAAAAGTAATTATATTCCTTAAAACCCCTTCATATTGTGTAATATTAAGCCTACAACTACAAACTTTGATATATTTCTAGTCTAGACGTGGACTCAAATGGACTGAGGTTTGCACATTCATTTTATACATGAATATGCTTAACTATAAACCAGTCCAATGAAGTTCTGGCTGTACGTTTAGGTCTGACAGTTCCAACTTTCCATCAACTCCCAAAGCATTCATCTCCCTGTTTTAAAAAAAATATATATATATAAAAAAACATCCCCATACCATCATGCTGCCATCTTCATGGCTCCCTGTATGGAGTACAACAAATGAAAATGTCTTATTTTTCCTTACACTGCCACTTTGTGCTTGTTCATCACATAAAATACCCACCTGCAGTAATTTTTTTTTCAACAAAGAATGAAGTTACAGAAGGCAATTCATTGCAACTAACTAATGCTTATATATTTTTTTTTAAACTGGAACTATCATACCCTGCAAATGCCCTGTACATGCTGGCAAAACAGACACTGGTGTTTACTGTATACTTCATCAAGGGAAATATTAGTTTTTATTCATTTCATGTTCACATTAGAAATGGATACTAATATAAATCTTTTAAAAAAACTGTTTTTTAAAAGTTTTTTTTCAACATTCAACACAGTTAAATGTAATTTGAAGATAAATGAAAATCTGCTAGAATTGATGACAGCACCAGAGGCTTGAATCACCTACAAATCTCTAATTAATGAATATTTATTAAAAGTATTTAAAGTTTTATAGAAGAACAAAAGCAGTTGGTGCTATATCAAACCAAATAATAAAAATATCTATTTACTTTCTGGTGCGTCTTTGCATGATAAACGCACTGACTCAAAACTAGGCTAGTGGGTCACCTATACCAAGTCATGACCTGCAGTGTCATTGTATCTTGAGAGCAAAAGACAATGCAACTGCACGCACTCACCACCTTTTGATACTGAAATGTGAATATTTCAAGTATCACGATGTGCCTTTGTCCTTTTCAATGTAAGAGAGTCTTTACAAGCACAGCAACCATAATTGCGCCACTTTTCAACAACACTGACAGCTGAGTATTTTTTGTGCTTTTTCAAGTCTCACTCCTTTTTCTTGCTTTTATTAAACTGTCCACATTATTTCTTTCAGGGCACCGATGAAGCCACTCATTCACACAATTAATGCAGGGAGATGACTCACAGGCTTAGGTTTTAATAAAATAGTCACTAAGTTGTTCAGTGTTGCTCTCGTAATACGTTTAGAACAGTTATTATGTTGCGAATCAACTTTAAATTGACCGAACATATTATATTTATAAGGTCAAAGATTTAAATCAAAATATCTGAGGCCTTCCAGAGTGAAACATCGCCTGTATCGTAGCTCCTTATGAATTTTGTGACAATTTCTAATAAGTTTGATTCTTCAGCTGTGCATGTGAAGATATACCAAAAGTCGGACCATTAGAAATACAAATATGAAGAACCACCACTCTTAAGTGTAGTTGGGAAAACATGACTGCATGAAGATTCCAAAAAATTACAGGAGATGTGTGTAAACATGAAACAATACAAGTTCAGATGCTATCTACTTTGAGTCTAATGAGAGCAGACTTTTATTTAGCATCCCTTTACACAGGAGTAAATCAAAGCAAGGTAGAAGAAATTGTAGCAATAGTCATTTTAACAACAGCATCTGACAGCACCTGTGCTCAGTTCACTGCAGGGAATTCGGTGAAAATTAGGCAAAGGTAGACACAGAAGGCAAACATCAAATTAAAGAGGAGACACTGAGACAGGTGGGGGCAGGGGGCGCTAAACTTATAGACAAGGTGACAAAACTATGGAAAATTATTTAACTAGGGGAAATCAAAGCGGAGTTTCATGCGGAGCCGGGCAGGGGTCACTGGACAGCAGTTTACACTCTGAATGCCAACAATCAGCAACCTTATTTGACAGATGGATCAGAGCACTCCTGGCCTAGACCGGACTGAAAGCTCTTGGTCACATGACCAGTGGATTAGTATTAACCCAACTGAAAGGGGGAGGAGGTTGGTGTGCATTGCACCACATGCTTCCTGATCACTTCCCTTTAAGTATGTTTCCCTTTCTGTTTCAGTCCGCAAAGGTCTTATTCTTGTCTTATATTCTCTGGTACCAGTGAGTTTTTTAATGTCCTTTGAACTTCCCACAGGAGACCTTTAGGGAGAGAGAATGTCTATCCTCTTATGTAGCAGGTTGGAGGGCCAGGAAGCAGCAGATCCTGCCATTAATGGTTCTGACACATGACTCATCGTTCAGTCAGATCAAGACCTCTGCTTTAATATGCTAACTTCAAGTTACACATAATCTCAAGGAAAAAGAAGTGTATTTGTGACGTGATTCACACAGCGCAAAAATAAACAGATTTAGTAATGTTTAGTAGTAAAATATTCAAATGTAAGACCCAAACGCAGGCATCACAAAATATTCAATAAATAAACAACCATGTTACAGTGAACATCGCTACATAATGTGACAAAAATTTTCAACCTTTTCCAGTGGGACTTGTCCCAACATTTGTCTGGGAGAGAAAAGTTGAAAAAGTGAGAAGCACTTAGAAACTAAAAGACATCCCATGCTGTGAACACATGTAACAACCAGCTTGTCCTTTTTTGCTGCTATTCCTTCTTCATCTGGATCTTGCTGTCAGGGACAAAATGTGCCAGTCAACTCAGGTCAGTCAGGCAAGCTATGTTCCCATATCAACCTTTTTTTTTTTTTGAGCAGAGACCAATGAAAACCCTACATCCCATTGCACTATGTACTGCAGCAAAAGGGAAAACAGTGCTTGCCAACAGGGTTAAATGCTACTGAAGGCAGAGAACATCCTTTCCTAGAGAATGCAGTTAGTGAAATTGTCCATTAAGTGCAAGAGTAAGTTAAAACAACTATAAAGACAAAAGTGCAATTTAAAAAAAAAAAAAAAGTCTGTATGCCTGCTGCAATTTGCAACCTGTCCAGATCATTATGAAATCAAACAAGTAGCAACCCAATTGTGCATAATGAAAAAATTCTGTGCTTGATGCTAATTTTTTTGAGCAAAATCAAATGAACCAAAACATATTCTCCCTGAGTTGACTAGTGTAATCAGAGGAACCCCATTATTAAAAAGGCAATAATTGAAATGTGGGTTGAAAGAATGAAATCAATATTTTTAATGACTTTTTACTACCTGAGTGTGCAAAGCAATGCCATCCTGTCTGTAGCAATGCAGGAAAATATATCCATAGAGCCACAAAAAATATGTAAAAATATGGGAGAGGTTCTCTCAAATAAAACAAGCGCACATGCTCTCTCACAGAGCGCGAGGTTTTTTTTTCTTTCTTTTTTGTAAATGACAGTGAACTTCAAAGTCGGTGTGACATTTAAAATTATGTCTGTGAGCTGGCACCAGTGCCAAGATCTGCGTTCACCAGTTGCACTAAATAGCTTTGACAACCTGTTCTGTTTTGACTTTTACAAGAAATCCTTTCATGCTTTTACACACACCACATTTTCAATTAAAAAGTGCAAACAGACAAGGAGGAGTTTGTGTCGCAATATCATGTTACTGGCAGTTAGAGTTGAAATGATTTACGCAGTGACAAAGGCACCAAGAGCTGTTGTTGCATCTGTCTTACACATTTCAATAATTGTCATTATATTAATATGTTAAGGCTTGGTTTGAATATTGTATGATAAAATTGGGTCAAAACATTACATTTTTAAAAATAACAGTATTTATAAAAATTGATTACCACTGATGGTTACCGTTATTGTTAAGGTGACTCAAAACTGATGCTATGAGATCAGTTGTCTTGCAGTTGAAAGACTGTGGGTTTAATTTCAGCTCCCCCTCCCCCTGCCCATCAAAGAGTCCGTCAGCAAGATAAACATATTTATATGTCTGTGTGTGAATATTTGACAGTGCTCAGTTGCACTTTGAGTGGTCAATATAACTGAAAACATAAGCAAATGTGTTCATTACACAATATAATATATATTTTCCAGCTCTGCTCTTTAAAGACTCACACACATTACTGAGTCAGGCTATCGTTTAGATGCTAGCCTGCATTCTGCTGCTCAACAGACAAATTGCTCACAGCTCACATGTAACTGAAGCATACCTTTAAAACACATTTCAGAGCTCAGAGGTCTATTTGATTGCATGGCATGACCAACTATGTTTTTGCAAATTTAAATATTTCTAATAATGTGGAGTAACCCTCTATCAATTAGCTCGGCAGTGACACAGCAACATGTGGAGGAGGGGAAGAACTAAGTGATTCTGGAGAGAACTGTATCACAGGCATGTAATTGAAAGAAAATGAAACTTTAGGAAAAATGAAGCTGTTTTGAAACACTAACTTCCCAAACATTGGCATGCAATAGCTTATGAGTAAATATTAGCTAATTGATGTTCATACATAAATGATTCAAGATTGAAACTTTATCTTCAGTTTGGATAAATTAACCTGAAATATTAATTTAAAAAGCAATCTATTAATACAACAGAGTGGTACAAATAAAGTTACTTTTGAAGCATACCGTTGACGCAATGTAACGGGCACTTTTTTTTTTTTTTTTGCCCGTTTCACATGGAGAAGCTTCATGTTCATATTTCATTTTCAGACCTGACGTCCCCTATAATGGAGGCTGAGCTGTTGGAGCTGTGAGGCAGGGGGGAAAGGCTTGTCCGTTAATGCAAACTTTTGGATAAATATTAGAAAAATGAAGTACAAACACATTCTACAGCGACATCGGCAAGTCAAGATAGTCCCAAAAAAGCTTCGTATTGTTTCTTCAAAAGATTACAGAGTCGTCGATGTGACAGAAAATGTGTCAGCCCTGACAGAGTGATAGTAAACTCACTGGCTGCGCGGCCACACGGTCAGCCTGCGAGAATATGAGTGGGATTCGGCTCTCAGGAGAACCTGCCTGTTGATTCAGAAAGCACAGAGAAGCAAAAGTGCTCCGTAAACAAACCCAAACACAGTCCGTACCACACGCACGGAGGCTGTTTCGCAGCGTCTCCAGATGGAGAAGCGCTGTCGCAGCCGCAGTTTGTTTACAAAGCGCTGTCAGAATATCATTTCGCAACGAAGAGCGTCAAAAAAAAAAAAAAAAATAGAGGGGCACGAAGCGAGGACGTCTATCTCCTCCTCAAATAAAGCATTGAAAACGCGTTTAAATGCGACTGGAAGAACAGCAGCACTCACCTCTGTGGAGCGACGAAAGTTGTTTTTCTTTTTCATAAAATGAGGGGAAGAGTCTACAGCGAAGTGATCAGCCCGGCAGGAATTTCTCCGTTAGTCAGTTCCCAACAGTTCGCCGTACAGTTCACGGCTCTCTGTTTCTCTCTCTGTCAGACACACCGCCCACTTCCGGCGGTTCCTCTACGTCTGACGGTTTCTACGGATCGCTGACGACTGACTCGAGAAGTGGTGGCCTGATGTTAGTTATTAACCTCGGGTCAGCATATAATAAAATGGTCACTTATTAAAAATATGGCTAATTTTTTAAAAATGCCGCAAAATTAAACTAAGACGTGCTGAGGCGTTTTATCTGAGAGTAGTTTTTTAAGCTAAGTCTTAAGCAACACATTAGAAAATATTAAACTCAATAAATAAATGGTAAAACGTATGTTGTTATGAAACGGTGTCCACCAAATAAATAAATTATTAATAATTAATTATTTTATTATTAACAGTAATAATAAAACAAGAATGATTATAATTATAACTTTTGAACAAAAAGACACAATTGATAAATATATTCAGTAGCCTACTTTCAAAACTTTCATCCCTGCAAGATAGTGTACGGCGGCGCCCCCTGGTGTTATTACTAAATCTTGGCAACTGGCACTTTTATAATTGTTTCCTGTCTTTCTACGTAATAATATGCAATTATGGTGTTTTTAATTAGTTTTCTATTTTAGGAAATACCCAGAGGGACCAATTAATCTCCTGTTGCAAGAATAATTAACTGGATCTGTGTTTGTTTTTTAAATCAATATTGTTTTTTTTTTTGTTGTTGTTTTGTTTTTTTGTCGCAAATTAGAGACAGACACAGCAGAAGAGAAAATCTAAAAACAAAAGTTACAAAATAAATTTTTTGAACAAAATTAATTGGACTACAACACTCAGAAAACAGAAGGTCACAACTAATATTTGTTAAGGGATAAACAAGTCTGTTTAATTTACGTACTAGCATAATTTTATTCTTCTGATTTCTGCTTTCATTGTGTGCATGAAACCTGAAAATAAATCTTCATTAGTTGGCTATCTTTAACTCATAACCTTTTGGAAGCTCATTTATTTATTGATTTTTTTATTTGTAATAAACTGCCTGATCATTAGTCATATTTAGAGATCTATCAAAAGAAATAGGAACAAATTGTTTTAATGACTATTGGTAACCCAAACAAAAGAGCAAAATTTTCAGCTTTATTTGAAGCTGCCACTTTTTATGCAGCTAAAAATTAATTTACTGAGCAAAACCTTCAACAAAGGAATCAAAAGAAAGCCTAAATTAAAAAGTACCTTTGGCAGAAATCCACCAAATACCAAAAGCTGAAGAAACTTAAAAAATAAAAGACCTTTTAAATTGAGATAATAAAAATGTATAACTATCTAAATGCAATCCTAATATACAATATGCATTTCTGTCAACATTTAGGTGGTTTGTTTGTTTCTGTTGACAAAAGTAAATAAAATTACATCATCTTCTGAGTTAAAAGTGATTTTGCTCAGTAGCAGTCATGCTCTCGCTGTCAGACACATAAGCCCTTATCACAGCTGCAGCCTCATTCTCCACTTTGATTGGCTGTGGACCAAAATTGAAAGGTGACAGTTGCTTCCTAAGGCAGCTGAGTCAGCAGCTGCTGACGGTAATAGCTGTGCATCTCAACACCCCCTCGCGTCCTCACAGCAGTCCCTTTTAACTTCCTATATCCAAAACAAGACGCGCATTAGCCGAAGCGAGGTAGTGCTGCAGAGAAATGCAGAGAATCCATGACACAGAAGCTGACTGCTTCCTGTTTGTTTACCAGTTTCACCTCAGTGCTCTTGTTTTCATAATGGGACTCATGGGTATACCAGAAGGCCCGAAGCTGCTGATCGCATAATTTCTGTGCGAAAGATGCAGATAAAGAGGTGGTGCATTTACACACGTACACACACAACTGGGTGTTTCCAGTGAGGGAAGTCCACCGAAAGAATGAGATTTATCATCAAAGCTTCAGAGAAACTCTCAAGGGGAAAGCAGGAAGCACAGTGACAGCTCATTTCAAAGGTGATTGAATTCCTAAAGCACCATTAATATGGGTTACTGTGTGTTTGAGCTTTAGAGGCCATGGCCTGAAGCAAGAGTTTCAAGGAGTAAAGCAGTTTCAGTACAATGAATATGCAGCTTATTCCAAACTGAAGGTCAGTCTAAAATATTTATACACATCAATTATAATGCAGCTGCAAATATCAATATGCTTAGAGAACTTTTGCCCATGCAGAACCAAAAAAGATCAAATAAACAATTTGGCAGTAAATCCATAGTTGTTTTAAAACTTTCTGCTACAATTACCATCTCTATATATAAAGCCTTTCAAGAACAACCATACTAACGTACAGTAGGAAAGTAATCTTGACTGTGATTTGAATTCACACTTGGACTAAAGTGCTCCTCTCCTTCAGCTGAAGGTTCAGAGTTAACTGGTACTTGGAAAAAGTTCAGAATTTATTTAACATTGACAAGACCATTAATTTAATTGAAAGAACAGCAAGACCAGAGGATGATACTGCCAAAAGCATGCTTTACTCTGGGTATAGCGTTCTTTTGCTGATGCACAGTACAATCGATGGCACTGTGCATCAGCAAAAGAACGCCTGCACTGCAAGTAAAAACAGTCAGACATTCTGCACATTTTAAATACCTGGTTTTCTTGATTTAAACTGGCAAATATCTGTCCTATTTTTAACATTTTAATAATATAAAGCTTTGTAGTTATTGGAATTCATATTTGGAAATATCAAACTAAACAAAAAGCATGGAAGACAAAAACTAAAATGTTTACTGATTAGATTTGATGTAGCAAATTAATAAAATTTGACTTTGTAGTAAAACTGTAAATGAAACATACATGTTTGAGTTTTATTCTTTAAATAAAGCTTGGAAGACAGTAAAAGTATATTGTACACATTTACATAATGTGTAAGAACCCAGCACTAAGCATGATCATCTAAACAGCAGAAAAATAAAGGGCCTTATTTTAGCAACACAAAAGCAAACAAACAATCCAAAAAAACTGAGTCAAGGTTTCTTTTTTGATAATAACTAATTTAACATATATGAGGAAAGAAAATGATCACGCAGCTCACAATATGCATTGTGTGAAACATATTTAATTGGTAATAAATGATACATTTCATGATTGATTAGTACAACAAAAATAAAATGTTGATTTTAAAATGCCAACCCAATTAACATGATCACATCTTACAGTATTTTAATGGAAAAGCTGTGCCCAACTTAAAATGCACATTTTACACAATATCAGCAAAAAAAGCTTACAGAAATAACCTCTAATTGGCAAATATTTTTTTTGTCCTTCTTTCGTTTTCACCATTATAAAAATCTGAGATCACCCTAACAAATAACAGAAATAAATCCTTTTGTTGGAAAAAACACACTTAAAAAAAAAAAAAAAAACTGGTGTAGCCAAGGAGAAGCCAATTTGCCATAACTCACCATAAGGTCATGCTAAAAACGTAAGAAAAAAGGCATTTTTCAGCACAACTAAAAAGCATCATATAGCTTATATCAAAACTTATATCGTACATCTATCAATCCACAAAACCATAAAACCGTTAAAATGTCAATAAACAGACAGTATTCTCAAAAAAACTACATTTCCCTATGTTTGCATGTTTTTAGATAGCTTAACAAAAACAAGGAAGGAAAATTGTTGCCTAAAAACAATAGGTTCACAAAGAATGACCCAAATGTATAGGGAGGTTGTTTTTTTTAAGCCATAGTTTAAAAAAATGAAAACAAATCTTTGAAATTGATGGCGAGTAATTTTACACAAGAAACAAAAATATCTATACAGGCAGACTGTGTTTACAGAGAGAGAGAGATAACTCATTCTTTGAGCCTCACAAAAGGTCAAATCCCAACAAGAGAAAAAATAAAAGACTGATATTTTCTTTCACATAGGAGATGCTACATCCATGTTCAGAGTAATTGAATCTAGAAAAAAGAGGAAAAAAACAAGCAATTAATGCTGCTGTAATAGTATTTATTAAATAAAGCTGGCCTTAAGTTGCAATAGTAAAACCAGAGGAGAACCCAGTCAGAACAAAACAGATGTGTGAAGAGATTGCAACTCACCCAAATGCCCTTGGTTTGCTTCAGCTTCGCCGGGCATCAGGGAGTCCAGGGAGTCCAGGGTGTGCGGCGACATGAGGAACAGGTCACTGGTGTTTCCAGAGTTTGTGCTGTAAACACACACACACACATATACACAAATAAAAAAAAGAGACTGCATAACAGTGCAAAGCAAAACTTATTCTTATCAAACATGCCTATGCCATTTTTAGATTAATTATAATAATTATAGATAATCATTGTCATCATCCCACTTTACCACAAGTAGCCTACAACAACTGAGCAGTTTTAATGAGTAAATTAGTCATCTTACATCACCGGCCCGTTATTAATATAGTAAATAACTCGATTTTTGGGTCAGTAAGCAGCTCAGTGTACAAAATTCCTGTGTTCAGCTGAAGATAAATAGGCAGACATGCCAATTCTGGTAGAAGCTGGGCCTGGAGTATCCTGAGAATAATTTGGAATGATACAAATTTCAGCTGGAGATGCCCCTTTTAATTTTTTTAGGGCAGATTTTCACCTGCAGCTGAAAATCTGCATAAAATTGAAAACATTAGGCTCACTATAAAGTACTTGTTGTTTGTTAACATGTTTTTTTTTTTAATTAAAAAGTAAAAACTAGGCACAGCCATTCAAAAACATAAATAAATTTAGCCGCTTCCTTTGACAAACAAAAAAAAGGTAACTGGATACTCTCGCAACTGTTGAAGAGATTTTTTTTTCTAGAGAAAAGAGTAGAAAATAATTCATCATAAAAACGTAGAGACTTGTGTGTTTTCCTTTTGATACGAGATGTTGCAGATTATGAGTTACAGATTCCTTTCCTACACAATTCGGACAACTTTCATTCAATAAAGTATTGCGTCATTAGCAGGATAAATATATATATATATATATATATATATATATATATATATATATATATATATATGTTCTAACCTACAACCTGGCTTAAGGCCTTTATCGCCATCAGCTTTTGTCCTCGTTAT